AAGGATCAGAGTTAGGATGAGGGGGGGGGCGATTAGAGTTGGAGGGGGGAGACCAAAACAGCCTGTTTGTGAACTTGGGATTAGGGTAAGGGGATGAATGGATTAAGATTAATCACTGAGCCAGACAGTCCAGACACAAGTGTATGTCTAAGCTCAGTGGATGGAAGTTGAGCCAGTGGTATAGAAGTATTTACCGTTTTTATACTTCATGTTACTCTCAAATAAAGTGATTTTCCAAAATGGCGGACAGACTGCAAGATATTCGCACGAGAGTAACTTTACAAGAACATGGTCTGATCAACGTGAGTTTTATTCTGAAGGCTAAAATTTCTGCATGCATTTGAAGCAGTTTGCATTGTTAGTTGCAGTATACAATTATATCTTCAGCATTTAAAATAATATTCTGCAAATAAGCCATTTTATATTTATAATCTACTGAAATAGAAATATCTTGTACATTGGTAATATTTGTAGAAATTACATATGTTGTTATGTTTAGTTTTGTTATTTTATTAATGCAAGACTTTGGAAGGCTTATTTTTGAAGCTCTATTGCACAAAATGAATGTTGTTTTCAGACACAAAATACTGCTTATCCTGGATCGTACCATGGTTATGACGACTCGTGGAAATTTGACGATTTTAAAAAGGTAATGCATGAATGTTGAAAAATAATTCTGAATGTTGAGCACTTTTGGAATTATTCTGTAGTAGGTAGCTGTGTTGATATTAAAGTAGGCAGCTGTGGGAACAACCTCGTGGAACGAGGTTGCTGTGGGAAGCGGTCTGGGGAATCTTAAATTCATCCAAATTAACCAGTGTATATTGATTAGATAACAACACAACTGAGCTCTGAAACCAAATTATAATGTATTACTACTTTCATTCTTCAACAAGACATCTTCAAGATTTAAGATTAGGAGAGCAGAATAGACAATTAATTCCCATTATAGAGTAATTTTAAAACTATAGGCAAGGAGATGCAAATAAATCACCACAGCCAGAAAGAGCATATACTAAAATGAGGAAAAACTGTAAAATTGCAAAGTTTGGTCACGAAATGTTGTAAAATGCGGAAATTATAGCCTTGCAAAGTTTGCAAATTGTGTATGCTTCTGTATTGCATGTGGAAATTGCTACTGTTTTCAAGCCCAAATGTGGTAGCAATTTCTGCATGCAATACAAAAGTATACAAAATTTGCGAACGCTGTATGTTCCGCATTTTACAACATTTTGCAACCAAATTTTACTCATTTTAGTATGCTCTTTCCAGGAATACACTTTTTTGAGATAAAAAAGTCTACAATGGGAATTGTCTATTGATATTTCACGCAGGGACGCAATGTATTTGGGGGGGGGTGGATGAATTCTTGCCCAACAAAATGATGTGGTCACCAATCAATCTGCTATGAAAGTTGTGAAAATTCATCACACCCTTCTTACACCCACCCACCCCACCCCACCCCACCCACCCAGTCACTGTGTGATAAATAGTGTCTTGCTACTGTGGTATTACTGAAAATTTTGTTTCCACTGAAATTCTTTCAGAACTTTAGGATTGACATTGTGAGCCTTACAGAAAATGAAATTGAGTTTGACATGGTCGGTATTGATGCTTCAATAGCCAATGCTTTTAGAAGAATTCTCTTGGCCGAGGTGCCTACCATGGCAATTGAAAAAATTCATATCTTCAATAATACCACTATTATTCAAGATGAGGTAGGAACATCAGATTAAACGTTTCACATTACGTAGCAAGTCTGCCAACAAGCCGTCAACAAGTTGTGTTCGCAATGCTTGTCCCAAGTTGTCAACAAGTATGGAACAAGCTGTTAACAACTTGTAACAACCTCATTGATATCATCAGATTTGTTGCAAGGTTGTTCCAACAAGTCCAATACAGTCATCATATAACAATATTGTTACAACCTTGTGTCGTCAACCTTGTAACATTCTTGTTATGTCATGACTGTATCAGATTTGTTAGAACAACATTGTAACAAGTCTGATAATGCCATCAAGCTTGTTACAAGTTGTTAGCAGCTTGTTCCAAACTTGTCACAACAACTGGGAACAAGCAGTGCGAACACAACTTGTCGACAAGTTGTGAACAGATTTGTAACAACTTGTTTGTAAACAAGTTGTAACAAGGTTGTTGTCAAGCCGATATCAGGATGTGTTCGCACTGCTTGTTCCCAGTTGTGAACAAGTTTTCTGGAACAAGTTATCATGTTGTTCCATGCAAGGTTGATGACGGTAACAGGCTTGCTACAAGTTGTTCCAACAGGCTGTTTGTAACAAATTGCTACGAGCTTTTTACCATTGATCAACTCGTTAACAACTTGCTATATGTGCAGGCAGTGTTAGACTTGTTTCTGTTGGCCTCATCAGCATTGTTAGAAGATGATAACAATTGGTTCCGCACTTGTCAACAACTGGGAACAATTAAACTGTGCAAACACATGTTGTTGACAAGTTGTGAGATTTCTGTACATGTGTATTGTGTACAGGACCGTGTTCTATAACCTGTAAAAGCTATTGCAATGAAATAAAGCTCATTGCATTCCGAAAAGACTGACTTAAAGATTTTGATCATAATGACTGCGCTATTGATGTTATAATTATCGAATGTAGTTATTCTTGTTAAATAATAGATATTTTTATTTTGATTATATCTCGCTCAATATTGCATGTAAATTCAAGTGTTATACATCAAATTCTAAGTTAACCCTTTCTGAATGCAATGATCTGTATTTCATTTTGATAGCTTTATAGCAGGCCTTGAATTTCCCCGTAATCAATCGACGGCAATGGTGCTAAAAATTGCCGTAGAACGTAACAGCTGTCTACGGCAATTTTGGCAGTTTCCACAGCATTTTTCAAATTACTGTAAAAAACTTTAATTTTATTGTTACTTTGGTTTTTGACAAGCTAGAAACATGTCTACGTATTTCTTTAGTGTTTGTTTTTTTTGAAAAGAAAACTGAGACTAAAACGCATTATTTGCATGCTCGACATCTGAATTCAAGTATCAAAAATTCAAAATAGTAATGCACAGTGAATAGTATAAAAATTGCACTATACGGCAAAAAATTGCCGTCGTTGCCACAATGATCCACGGCATTTTGTTCTCCCTCTACGGCAATTGCCGCGATTGCGACTTAACAACCATGCAGATGTTAATTAAGTTTATAATTATAATAAATAATAACAAATAAAAAAGAGAGAAAATCCAACACAACTTCTGTACATCTTGCACAGGTATTAGTTCACAGACTTGGTCTAATTCCTATCTTCGCTGATCCAAGAATGTTCAATTTCAAAACTTCAGAAGATGAAGAATCGACAGAAGATAACGTCATTGAGCTGGAACTCAAAGTGAAATGTACTCGAAATCCTCACGCGTCAAAAGAGGCGGCTGATCCCGATGACCTCTATATAAACCACAAAGGTGGGATTCTTTTCAATGATATGCTTTCGAAATCCAAAAAGACCGTCTTGAAAATTATTAGTTGATCAAATACTACAGTAAGCGTTTGCAAAAACGTCCTTTAAAAATTCTTGTAACCTTGCCACTGAAAGGTTATAAGTTGTTTTTTTTTCTGAATAAATTTCCAGTTCACCTAAAATGTTCTGACTGGCTTCCATAGACGGATTTTCATATTTTTTACTGGGGTGGTGCCAGAAATTTTAGGGGGGTGAGCCGCGAGCAGGTGACTGAAGCAACACAAAGTGTCACCAAACCCCAGTAAGGTCTATGTTCTAGGCGTGGAGCACTAGAGCCGCGAGTGGGAGTCTAGAGAGCAGAAAACAAAGTATCCCTGGAAAAATGTGAAAAAATCATGATTTCTAGCTTCGAAAAAACGTTTTTTGAAGTTGTCATATCAATGGATTTGGCATGTCCGATTGTCTGTTGAGACTTGAGAGAGTTAAAGTTAAATGAACCTGTAAAAGTGTAAACCCAATAGGCCAATACACAATATGCTTTAAATTTACTTTTATAAAATCATTGACATTGTGTCGTTTGAATCCGAGTACAATCTATAATGCAACTCCGATGCAAATAATATTTGGGACGTAAAGATTAAATCTAGGCAAGACTATTTCCTAAAAGAATTAAAAACTAAAAATAATGTTCGTAAAATTTCCAAACGTTCCTTGCAAGCAAGCTATTTGCATGACAAGGCACTGCATGCTCTATTCAGGGGAGATAATAGAGTTTCAAAACTTTACAATTGCTCCAATAAACCAGTGAATGCAAGCGACGAGCGATTAGTTTCAGAGTGCTGCACTGTCTTTTTCTGTTCGAGTGTACTCCTACGTTTATTTTGTATCATCAACACTCTGCACGTTGGAGTGGAATATTTAATTATTTTTTATTATGCCGAATATTGGGGGGGGGTTGAAAATTTTTTTGGAGGGGTGGACACTCTGTTTGGGGGGGTTATAGATAATATTGGGGTGGGGGGGGGGGTTAGCACCCCCCTGCACCCCCCACAAAATCCGTCTAATGCTGGCTTCTACCAAATAATGTAACATATCATTTACACGGAAATATAATTCAGAAACGTAGGCCACTTAAACTGATTGCATCAAAAAAACTGAACAGATTTAAAATTGCTCTCAATTTCGCAAAACAGCTATTTGTATCTGGTTTTTTAATATATATATAGCTTCTTTGGGTACTTATAATGTAAAATAATGAAAAAAATTTCTCGAACTCAAATTTTGTGAACCAGGGGGGTGTGTCTTTTCCAACAAACTAAAAATGGCTCGCGCACAAAATTTAAAAGCTGCAATCATATTTTGAGTTAATAGATGGAAAATTTGTCGCGATTTTAATTACTGTACAAAATTTCAGACAATTTGGTTTAGTTTAAGCCCCTTAACTATTCACGCAAAGTTACAATTTTCCCGAAAAATCAGCTATTTGCATGCTTAATTAATGCATTTGCCTAATTTGCATATGTCAGCAATATGCAAATTAGGTAAAAGCATTAATTAAGCATGCGAAAGGCTGACTTTTTAGAACAAAATGAATAGTTAAAGGGCTTAAACTAAACCAAATTGTCTGAAATTTTGTACAGTAATTAAACACCCAACAAATTTTCAATCTATCAACTCAAAATATTATTACAGCTTTTAAATTTTGTGCGCGAGCCATTTTTAGTTTGTTGGAAAAGACACCCCCCCCCCCTGGTTCACAAAATTTGAGTTCGAGAATTTTTTTTCATTATTTTACATTATAAGTACCCAAAGAAGCTATATATGTATATATAAACAGATACAAATAGGTGTTTTGCGAAATTGAGAGCAATTTCAAATCTGTTCAGTTTTTTTTTTTATACACCCTGTATAGCTGGAAAGAGTATCTTAAAATGAGTAACAATTGAAAGTTTGGTTGCGAATTGTTGTAAAATGAGGAAAGTATAGCCCTGTGAAGTTCGCAAATTTTGTATATATTTGCATCAGAATAACCATTTTTGAGCCGAAAGTGGTTATTTTTACAAAATTTGCAAACTTCGGACAAGGCTATATTTTCTTCACAGGCCTTAAAATATCTTTTACAGGGCCGTCTGACAAAATGTCCGATGACGTTGAGTTTTGGTTGGACATATGTTCGATGACCTTCAGTTCAGTTTGACTCGGAAATAAGTCTGAATGTCACAAATGAATATCAGCACAATGTATTGATTCTGAACGGAAATGTTGTGAAGATATTAAATAATTTGTGTCATTCATACTTATTTCCAAGCCACAATTAACTTGCTTGCAAGAACAGCAGCAAAACTTAAGTAAGACTTCACCATTTCGCTTGCACGTCGCCGCCCCGTGCTCGATTAGCTACGTTAAAACAACATTTCCAGTTCACTTTTTATACAATACTCAATAGTCTTCTGATTTTCCATTTAACATACGAGCCTTACTGCTGATTGATTTACGTTGGACAAAGCTACAGTTCGGTCGGACACCAATACACTCGAGTCGTACAAACAGTAAACCTCAGTTTCACTTTGGTCGGACAGAATGTCCGGTGGTTTCCTCTCTACGTCGGACAATTTCACGAATGGGTCGGACAATGTCCGTGACCAACCGATATTTTAAGGCCTGCTTCATTTGGCTAATGGCGATGAAGCTATAGCGAAAGGGAAAAGCCTAGACTATGTAGACTGTACCTGAGTTAAGTTTCACAATCAATTCGTGCACATGGATTATACATCGATGTAAAAGCTCTGGCGAATTTGGGTGGGGCTGGATGAAAAAGTCTGGCGAAATTCGCCGTTCCGGCGAACGGCCTAAACTGAAAACCCTGAAGATGTGAGCATTTTGCGTGTGTATTTTTAATAATGATCATTGCAAGTTGCATGGAACATAACAGTGAGCTTAAGCAAGTGACGTTTTTGACAACACTGACGGCATGAGTAACGTCAGAAGACTGGGTCAAGGGTTGTGATTGGTGAAAAACGTCAACTTTACTTCCAGTCGACGTCTGTGTTGTCAAAAACGCCACTTGCTTAAGCTCACTATTGCTTGGTGTAACATTTCTTGCAATGCAATCCCGAATTCGTTTTTCTTAACTTTGCGACAGAGCTTTGCGAGACAAGTTCCGAGACAAGTTGCTTAATGCAACAGCGCAGTCTAAGGGACAACGGACAGTCTAAGGGACCGGTCATTATTTTTGGGGGGGGGGGTGGTACCGAAGAGAAAAGGGTTGGGTAAACAAAATTTTGAGTGAGTAAAAGGTTGGGTAAATGAAAAACAAAACAACTCAAGGGTTGGGTAATAAAAATTTATTGTCATTTCCAAAGCATGACCCACTGAAATATTGGAGACTGAAAAGCAATGTCAACAGTCATTTGTCAATACAATATGTGAACCAATCAGAGTCACTATCTTGATCATAGTTTAACAAAACAAATTGTGTTTCCAAAGAAAGTAGATCTGCAGACAACATGAAACTTTAGACTGCAGAAAATTTCACAAGCCGTTATCAAACTCATGTCACTGAAGCGATAAAGGACATGTATGACAACTGAATGGTATCCTTTTGTTAAGTTTTTGGCCAGGGGTGGGTAGTAGGCAAGGAAAACATTTCTCTTCGGTGCCACCCCGCCATAAATAATGACCGGTCCCTAATATTCATTTCACTTTTATTTAGTCACCACAAAACATATGAAGTGGATTCCTATTGGAAAGCAAGCTGAAAAGGTATAAATAACGTATCACTTTTTCACTTCATACAAGCCATACAAATAATATCATTGTGCCGCACGTAACGTCACACATATGACGTCACGTCTATGACGCCACATGACGTCATGCATGTCTCGCACATGACGTCAGACATATGACGTAACGAATGTGACGTCACATATTGTTTTCAATGTAGTTTGGTCCTGATGGTATCAGACCAGTTCATGATGATATCCTCATTGCAAAATTGAGACCTGGACATGTAAGTGCTCCATTACTAAAATTATTTAATCGATTTATAGCTTCGGAACATAGGCAGCCCAATGTTATGGTTGCCTGCCTGCCTGCGCGCGCGCGGGCGAGGCATTGTATAGTTGTATTATTTCCTGGGAAATAATACAAATTTAGGAAAGAATACAACTATACAATGCCGCTCGCAGGCAGGCCAACCATAACATTGGGCTGCCTATGGTTGGAGCGATAGGTAATTTCTCTGAATAAACTTAGCCTTGAACGCGACAAGCAGACAAACCATCTGTTATGACAAGCCTGAACATAAGCGGCCGGTCACGGATATTGCCCGGTACGAAAAGGAATTGTCCAGCACAACTGTTTGCCGCCCGCAGAATATTAATACAAATAATAGTCGTGACAATGCTGTTGCAACAACTTCTCAACAAAATGTCTCCTCAACGGGTTTGTAGCAAGCTTGTTAATAAGTTGTGACAATGCTGTTCCAACAACTTGTCAACAAGATATCTCCTCAACGGGTTTGTAGCAAGCTTGTTAACAAGTTGTGACAATGCTGTTCCAAAAACTTGTCAACAAGATATGTCCTCAACGGGTTTGTAGCAAGCTTGTTAACAAGTTGTGACAATGCTGTTCCAAAAACTTGTCAACAAGATATGTCCTCAACGGGTTTGTAGCAAGCTTGTTAACAAGTTGTGACAATGCTGTTCCAAACACTTGTCAACAAGATATATCCTCAACGGGTTTGTAGCAAGCTTGTTAACAAGTTGTGACAATGCTGTTCCAAAAACTTGTCAACAAGATATGTCCTCAACGGGTTTGTATAAGCTTGTTAACAAGTTGTGACAATGCTCTTCCAAAAACTTGTCAACAAGATATGTTCTCAACGGGTTTGTAGCAAGCTTGTTAACAAGTTGTGACAATGCTGTTCCAAAAACTTGTCAACAAGATATGTTCTCAACGGGTTTGTAGCAAGCTTGTTAACAAGTTGTGACAATCCTGTTCCAAAAACTTCTCAACAAGATATGTCCTCAACGGGTTTGTAGCAAGCTTGTTAACAAGTTGTGACAATGCTGTTCCAACAACTTGTCAACAAGATATGTTCTCAACGGGTTTGTAGCAAGCTTGTTAACAAGTTGTGACAATGCTGTTCCAAAAACTTGTCAACAAGATATGTACTCAACGGGTTTGTAGCAAGCTTGTTAACAAGTTGTGACAATGCTGTTCCAAAAACTTGTCAACAAGATATGTACTCAACGAGTTTGTAGGAAGCTTGTTAACAAGTTGTGACAATGCTGTTCCAAAAACTTGTCAACAAGATATGTACTCAACGAGTTTGTAGCAAGCTTGTTAACAAGTTGTGACAATGCTGTTCCAACAACTTGTCAACAAGATATCTCCTCAACGGGTTTGTAGCAAGCTTGTTAACAAGTTGTGACAATGCTGTTCCAACAACTTGTCAACAAGATATGTACTCAACGGGTTTGTAGCAAGCTTGTTAACAAGTTCTGACAATGCTGTTCCAAAACCTATCACATATGTACTAACGGGTTTGTGGTGCGTTTGTTAACAAGTTGTGACAATGCTGTTCCAAAAACTTGTCAACAAGATATCTGCTCAACGGGTTTGTAGCAAGCTTGTTAACAAGTTGTGACAATGCTGTTCCAAAAACTGGTCAACAAGATATCTGCTCAACGGGTTTGTAGCAAGCTTGTTAACAAGTTGTGACAATGCTGTTCCAAAAACTTGTCAACAAGATATGTACTCAACGAGTTTGTAGGAAGCTTGTTAACAAGTTGTGACAATGCTGTTCCAAAAACTTGTCAACAAGATATGTACTCAACGAGTTTGTAGCAAGCTTGTTAACAAGTTGTGACAATGCTGTTCCAAAAACTTGTCAACATGATATGTCCTCAACGGGTTTGTAGCAAGCTTGTTAACAAGTTGTGACAATGCTGTTCCAACAACTTGTCAACAAGATATGTACTCAACGGGTTTGTAGCAAGCTTGTTAACAAGTTCTGACAATGCTGTTCCAAAAACTTGTCAACAAGATATGTACTCAACGGGTTTGTAGCAAGCTTGTTAACAAGTTGTGACAATGCTGTTCCAAACACTTGTCAACAAGATATGTACTCAACGAGTTTGTAGCAAGCTTGTTAACAAGTTGTGACAATGCTGTTCCAAAAACTTGTCAACATGATATGTCCTCAACGGGTTTGTAGCAAGCTTGTTAACAAGTTGTGACAATGCTGTTCCAACAACTTGTCAACAAGATATGTACTCGACGGGTTTGTAGAAAGCTTGTTAACAAGTTGTGACAATGCTGTTCCAAAAACTTGTCAACAAGATATGTTCTCAACGGGTTTGTAGCAAGCTTCTTAACAAGTTGTGACAATGCTGTTCCAAACACTTGTCAACAAGATATGTCCTCAACGGGTTTGTAGCAAGCTTGTTAACAAGTTGTGACAATGCTGTTCCAAAAACTTGTCAACAAGATATGTTCTCAACGGATTTGTAGCAAGCTTGTTAACAAGTTGTGACAATGCTGTTCCAAACACTTGTCAACAAGAATGCCCTCAACGGGTTTGTAGCAAGCTTGTTAACAAGTTGTGAGAATGCTGTTCCAAAAACTTGTCAACAAGATATGTCCTCAACGGGTTTGTAGCAAGCTTGTTAACAAGTTGTGACAATGCTCTTCCAAAAACTTGTCAACAAGATATGTTCTCAACGGGTTTGTAGCAAGCTTGTTAACAAGTTGTGACAATGCTGTTCCAAAAACTTGTCAACAAGATATGTCCTCAACGAGTTTGTAGGAAGCTTGTTAACAAGTTGTGGCAATGCTGTTTCAACAAGTTATCAACAAGATATCTCGTCAACGGGTTGTAGCAAGCCTGTTAACAAGTTGTGACAATGCTATTCCAACAACTTGTCAACAAGATGTCTCTTTAACAGGCTTGTAGCAAGCTTGTTAACAAGTTGTGAGAATGCCGTTCCAAACACTTGTCAACAAGATATGTCCTCAACGGGTTTGTAGCAAGCTTGTTAACAAGTTGTGACAATGCTGTTCCAACAACTTGTCAACAAGATATCTCTTTAATAGGTTTGTAGCAAGCTTGTTAACAAGTTGTGACAATGCTGTTCCAAAAACTTGTCAACAAGATATCTCTTTAACAGGCTTGTAGCAAGCTTGTTAACAAGTTGTGACAATGCTGTTCCAACAACTTGTCAACAAGATATGTCCTCAACGGGTTTGTAGCAAGCTTGTTAACAAGTTGTGACAATGCTGTTCCAACAACTTGTCAACAAGATATCTCTTTAACAGGTTTGTAGCGAGCTTGTTAACAAGTTGTGACAATGCTGTTCCAAACACTTATCAACAAGATATGTCCTCAACGGGTTTGTAGCAAGCTTGTTAACAAGTTGTGACAATGCTGTTCCAAACACTTGTCAACAAGATATGTCCTCAACGTTTGTAGCAAGCTTGTTAACAAGTTGTGGCAATGCTGTTCCAACAACTTGTCAACTAGATATGTCCTCAACGGGTTTGTAGCAAGCTTGTTAACAAGTTCTGACAATGCTGTTCCAGCAACTTGTCAACAAGATATGTCCTCAACGGGTTTGTAGCAAGCTTGTTAACAAGTTGTGACAATGTTGTTCCAACAACTTATCAACAAGATATCTCTTTAACAGGTTTGTAGCAAGCTTGTTAAACAAGTTGTGACAATGCTGTTCCAACAACTTGTCAACAAGATATGTCTTCAACGGGTTTGTAGCAAGCTTGTTAACAAGTTGTGACACTGCTGTTCCAAACACTTGTCAACAAGATATGTCCTCCACGGGTTTGTAGCAAGCTTGTTAACAAGTTGTGACAATGCTGTTCCAGCAACTTGTCAACAAGATATGTCCTCAACGGGTTTGTAGCAAGCTTGTTAACAAGTTGCGACAATGTTGTTCCAACAACTTGTCAACAAGATATGTCCTCAACAGGTTTGTAGCAAGCTTGTTATCAAGTTGTGACAATGTTGTTCCAACAACTTATCAACAAGATATCTCTTTAACAGGTTTGTAGCAAGCTTGTTAACAAGTTGTGACAATGCTGTTCCAACAACTTGTCAACAAAATATGTCCTCAACGGGTTTGTAGCAAGCTTGTTAACAAGTTGTGACAATGCTGTTCCAGCAACTTGTCAACAAGATATGTCCTCAACGGGTTTGTAGCAACCTTGTTAACAAGTTGTTACAATGCTGTTCCAACAACTTGTCAACAAGATATGTCCTCAACGGGTTTGTAGCAACCTTGTTAACAAGTTGTGACAATGCTGTTCCAACAACTTGTCAACAAGATATGTCCTCAACGGGTTTGTAGCAAGCTTGTTAGCAAGTTGTGACAATGCTGTTCCAAACACTTGTCAACAAGATATCTCTCAACGGGTTTGTAGCAAGCTTGTTAACAAGTTGTGACAATGCTGTTCCAACAACTTGTCAACAATATATCTCCTCAACGGGTTTGTAGCAAGCTTGTTAACAAGTTGTGACAATGCTGTTCCAGCAACTTGTCAACAAGATATGTCCTCAACGGGTTTGTAGCAAGCTTGTTAACAAGTTGTGACAATGTTGTTCCAACAACTTATCAACAAGATATCTCTTTAACAGGTTTGTAGCAAGCTTGTTAACAAGTTGTGACAATGCTGTTCCAACAACTTGTCAACAAGATATGTCCTCAACCGGTTTGTAGCAAGCTTGTTAACAAGTTGTGACAATGCTGTTCCAACAACTTGTCAACAATATATCTCCTCAACGGGTTTGTACCAAGCTTGTTAACAAGTTGTGACAATGCTGTTCCAAACACTTGTCAACAAGATATGTCCTCAACGGGTTTGTAGCAGCTTGTTAACAAGTTGTGACAATGCTGTTCCAAACACTTGTCAACAAGATATGTCCTCAACGGGTTTGTAGCAAGCTTGTTAACAAGTTGTGACAAAGCTGTTCCAGCAACTTGTCAACAAGATATGT